GAAGACTTTGAGCATTTAAAATTATTATCTGTGTAGGTAAGGAAAACAATAGTATCTTCTTATTTTCTGCCTTCGGTATTTTGGGTGCTGCCTTCACTTTAAAATCACTGGAGCACACTCATTCCTGACATAACAGCACTGAAATTACTCAAAATGCACCTTATCTTTTGCATATCATGTGAAAGCTGTTACAGTACTTTTCTTCCATTCAATGTGGGAAAGCATTCATGCACTGGTGACCCTCATTCTTTTCCATGCTGGGAGGTTTTTAGCTTTTCCCATTTAGAATTAAGAATGGTTTGGGGCATTCGTCACCCGTGGCAGCTCTTAATCCCCCTGAACTCTATACAATTACTGTGTTAAAATATTTTAAGTAGGTGACAGTACTAGTTAAGGCTATTTTGGATTGCACTTGTGGTACTTCTAGCTCATTAGTCTGTCTCTGACAGTGGCTAGTCCCAGATGCTTGAGGTGCAAAGTGAAGAACCTCAACAGCAGAGAATTTATGCAAGGGTACAGGAACCAGTCCCATGCTATTATAGGGAACTGTATGGTAAAATCCCTTTCCCAAGCAGACCACACTCATCTAAGAACTGATTTCAGGTTTTGATCCCTCCTGGTTCCTGTGGAGAAGCTTTTCACAAGCTGTACTGCTGAGCAAAAATCTATTAATTTCCAATCTACAATTTTTTACAGCCATTTTACACCAAATGTTCTTTTACCAGTAATGTACTTTCACATAAACAGTAGTTCTTATTTTATTTTTTACTTTTACTCACCCGTTTTGCTTACAAATGCAAACAAGAACCACTCTCAAGCTTTGTTTTGCTTAGTTAAACAAGCCAGTTTCTTTTTAATCATCTGTGACTGAAAGGATGCTTCACTCCCCTTAATTATCCTGTTTACACAAGGGTCTCAGTTTCAATTGGATTCATCTTTACTGAAGTTACCAGAACTGTATTTCATACTTGAAATTACATTATACTCAAGGGTCAATGAAACTTTCCATGTGAACCACTGAAAATATCCAACTTGATACACCTTGGGGTTACATTTGCTTTCCTTGAAGCCATAGCACATTGCTGGGTCAACTAATAGGTCCCAGAGCTCACTTTACCTCCTTCAGTTTTCACCTAGAAGTACAGAAGATGTTGTAATTAGTCCTTATTTTGCACTTTGCATTACTTTGCCATTTCTGTTACCCTAGTTTCTAAGGTCATTCACCACTTGTTCTTTCTCTGCAGATCTCACTTTTACAGCCGAGGGGGTTGTAACTCCATAGAACAGTGAATGTTGTGTGCCTGCAGGGATGAAGTTTTCAGGACACAAAGCATTTGCTTCATTTATAGTCTTTAAGCAGGGTCTATTGGCTATCAAGGGGTAATGGATAGATTAAAGTCAAACATTAAGCAACTTACAATCATGAAATAGCAATAAGTTTTTTGTCCTGTTGACTCTCCTGACTTGCAACTACACCATTTCTGCCTTTTCATGCAGAAATTAGTTCCCAGTGCTCAGTTACCAAAACTGATAACTCTGAAGCTACTATAACCTCCTGAAGGTGCCTCCAGAATGCAGGGAATCTATCTGCTCATAGTACACAACAGTCTCCAACATGCAGAAAATGGTCAAAAATAGGATGTGGAAATAATAGAATCATGGAAGGTTGGAATGCTGAAAGGCATCTGGTTCAGCCCCCCTGCCATGGGCAGGAACATCTTCCATTAGACCAGGTTGCTCAAAGCTCCATCCAACCTGGCTTTGAGCACTGTCAGGGATGGGGTATCCATGGCCTCTCTGGGCAACCAATCCCAGTGCTTCACCACCCTCACAGTAAAGAATTTTTTACTAATATCTAATCTAAGCCAATTATCTTTTAAATTTAAAGTCATTCCCCCGTCCTGTAATGCCCTTGTAATTAGAGTCTCCTCATCTTTCTTGTGGATTCCCTTTAGGTACTAGAAGGTGCTACAAGCTCTCCCTGGAGCCCCCTCTTCTTCAGGGTGAACAATCACAATTCTTTCAGCCTGTTCTTATATAGAAGAGGTTCTCCAGCCCCCTGATTGTGTTCATGACCTTACTCTGGACTAACTCAGGCAGGTCAATGTCCTTTATCCATTGGGGACCCCTCCAGGTGGGGTTCCACAAGAGCTGAGTAGAGGGAGAGAATCACCTCCCTCAACCTGGTGACATGACACTGGAAAGGGAAAAAAATGAAAATGTTGATCTCTGACACAAAGTCATCTGCCCTAGGAGATCTCTGTAGCTCGTGGTAGTGACTTGCTTTCATGAGAGAAGATGAAAAGCAGCACTGTGTGATAGCCAGCATGTGTGGGTGCATCTGACCCTGATGGGGCTGGCTCCAGTTGCAGTCGGAGCCTCCATCTGTACAGCACTTCTTGCACCCATTATCTGCCATCATGTCCAGGCACAAAAAACAACTGCAAAATGCAAACTGGCAAATGATATAAAAGAAGATACTTCAGCAGTCATAGTTTTGCCTTCCAATTGTCGTAACAAGTGCAGGGCTTTGAAAGGGACCATTGAAGAAAGCATCAAAGAAAATACACTGCACCAGTTTCTGAATCATCTATAGAATGAAAAGACAATTGCTTGCAGACTCACAAATGTCAGCAATCAGTGCTGTGCTACTGCCAGGCAGTGTTCATGGAACAGCCAAGCAGATGCAGTGAACTTATTAGGCACATTTCTGCTTTTGCTTACAATGAAAACAAACACTGCTGTGTGAGTCAGCCCACTGATGTCCCTGACCATCCACAGTGCAAGTGGTTTAAGACATGGCTGTTCATGCAGCCTGCAAGCATAATGATATCTCTCTGTCCTGGGTTGACTATATGATATCTCTCTGTGTCCTGGGTTGAATATATCCCCAATCATCTGTTCTGTTTATGCTGAATAATGAGTTTTGCACCTTTAAGACTTGTCCCAGAGAGTGAAGGGGGGAGAGAAGAAGCGCACAGTTTTCAGACACTGCACTCACTCCTCCACATTCCTGCTCCTGGACTGTGTTGTCTGCGGATGGATAGATAGCGGGACAGAGCTCTCCTTGGCTTTTAGGTAGTTTTAGCTAGCTGAGGCAAAGAAATTCCCTGGATTTTTTTCCCTTTTCTTTGAAGCTGTTTAACCTGCTCTGAACTGAACACCCAGAAGAGCACCAGCAGCTCACACCTGTGGTCCACTGGGCGAGGCCTGGGCCATGGCATTTCCAGAACCGGAGGGACTGATAAGAGAATGAGTGAGCTGAGCTACAGCCCACCAAGGGGACTTTGCTGAGTTTGTCTCTCTTTTGGAGTAGCAAGAGGTTTTATTGTTGAATGTTGTTTATGTTTTATTGTTTAATAAACAGTTTTTTCCATTTTTCTCCAAGGAGGTGTTTTTTTCCCAAACTGGTTGGAGGAGGGGCTGATTGAATCTGCTTTCTACAGGAACCCCTTTGGGAGTTCTCTCCAAAATTTGCCCTGAACCAGGACACTCTGATATGCAGAAGTAATATTTATAGTTTGTTTTGTAAGAACACCAAGGGCTTCTACTGTTCTGCTTTATCACCACAGCATCTGGAAGAGGGTGCTGCTGAAGACCTGCTGGCCTTGTGTACGTGCACTCTCGGCTGCAGAGACACTGCTGTGCTGCTGTGATGCTGCCATGTGCCCTGGTAAGTCACCCATCTTTGTGTTTATATAGACACACCTGAATGATGCCATCTTCATGCTGATTTGCTGTAATCATTGATTCTAGTAGAAGAAGAAAAGGTGCCACGTGTTTTCTTTTGTGAATTTGTATTTAACAGGAAAACTATCAGCTTGCTCTGAAGTAAGTGCTGCCTGGAGAAAATGGCAGTGGGATGAACCAACTTCATCTCCTATTAATTTCCTACAAATATTAAGTAATGTGTCTTAACAACAGCACATAGAAAAAAACATGTTTTCCCATATTTCCCAGAAACCTGTATTTTTGGCAGAACCAAACAAACAGCATGCCTGACCCACTCTAGTGCTTACAGCACCTGTTCAGTTGTTAAGGTTCTAGACCCACCAAGTTGCCCAATCCCAGGCTTTACTTGGTTAATAACTTCAAGCCCCAAAATCTCAGTCCCATTGCAGAGTGACAAGTTCTGTCTGAAATTGTTTGTCTGGTTTAGTGGTTTAGGGGTTACAGCAGAAATGCAGCACTGATGGTAGGACTTGTCAGGAAAATTAATCCACAAACACCAGAGGTTTATGTCCAAAAAGGAGACAGAGGAGTCCCATTACTTTATTCTAATAAAGGGAGAGGTCATGGGGCATTTCCCCTGGGGTCTCCCAAATTTTTGGAGGGCACTGCCTCCTTTTAATCTTAATTTCCCACCTGCATTTCCCTCTCTCTTTCCCCACTGGCTGGGATACTTGAGAGGTACAGATTCCCAGAAATGCCTAATACCTAAGACCCCCTTCTAATGTCTTCAACCTCCCCTTTGTCTTTTCCTTGTGTCAATTAGTGGAATTCCTTACGGAATTTATGCTTCTTTCCATTGTTTCTTTCATCTCTCAGTATTCCATTTCATTCATCAGCAGACCTACAGTTTGTTTGTAAATACAAATCTTTCATTCAATTTATCAATAAGTGGAATCCTTCCCATTGTTTCTTTAATCTCTCAGTATCTAGCTTTATTTACCAGAAGGTCCACAGCTTGTTTGTAAAGACAAGCCCTTCATTCCCTTCAGACTGGATGATCTCAAAGGTCTCTTCTAGCCTTGCCGATCCGACGATTTCATGGTTCTGTGAGCGGGGGAGTGTCCATCTCCACCGCATCGAGCCCGCCCCGCCCTCGCAAGCACCGCCCCTCCGGAACCCGGCCCGCCCGCGCCGCTCTTCTCGGCGCGCCCGCTCCGTGAGCCGTAGAATCAATCACCGTCCCTGGCAGCGTCACCTGCCGTGTTTGGCCGCGTCCCGGAGGCGGAAGCGGGACGGCGCCTGTGGCGGAAGTGAGCCGCCGGGACGGCTTGTGCTCAGCGATGGCATCCCAGTAGTGGCGACGACAGCAGCGGCAGCAGCGGTTTCCCTCCTTCCCGTCCCCTTTTCCGCCGTCGGGACCGGGTGGTGCGGCCATGGTCGGGGTCCAGGCGGCCGCGAGCGGCGGGGGGCGCGCGCTGCTGCTGCTGCTGTTGCGGCCGCGGCCGCGCGGCTCGGACGGCGCCTCACGTGACGGCCGCGCGCCCGTGTCCCCCGCGCGCCGCTGCCTCGGCGACTGGCGGTGCCCGCCCGTAGCGCAGCCGGGCCCCGGTGGCGGCGCCGTGTGGGGAAGGAGCGGCTGGAGCCGGCGGCAGCGCGGGGAGCGGGGTGAGCCCGTGGGCATGGGGCGTTCTGAGAGCACAGGGAGTTCGGGCACCGGGCGTGGGGAAGGGTCCGCAGAGCAGCTGAGGGAGCTGGCGCTGTTTAGTCTGGAGAAAAGGAGGCACGGGGGGGACCTGATCGCTCTCTTGAGCTGCTCGAAACGGGGGTGTAGCGAAGTGCAGGGCAGCCTCTTCGCCGAGACAGCCAGCGACAGGATAAGAGAACATAGCCTCAAACTGTGCCAGGAGAGGTTTAGGTTGGACATTAGGAAGAATTTCTTCACAGAAAAGGCGGCTGGAGTATGGACTGGGCCGCCCAGAGAGGTGGTGGAGTCATCGTCCCTAGGGGCGTTTAAGGACGCGGCTCTCAGTGCCATGGTCTGGTTCACAGCGTGGTTGGTGTTGGTCAAAGGTTGGAGTCGATGATCGCGAAGGTCTTTTCCAACCTAATTGATTTTATATTCTGCGTCTTAGCAGATCAGCTCATGCCCCACCTCACGTTCATTCTGTCAGGGTTGTTTATACACTACAAATCCCAGTGGAAACAACGCACTGTCTTAGATTGGCTTTCAGTGTTGAAAGTATTTTCTTCAAAAACAGTAAATGGTAAATAGTGAGTGATTACTTTTCTCCTAAATGGCAAGTGATGAAAGTTCACTTCTTTAACAAAGAAGGGACAGGGTGTGTGGATTTAGCCCTCCACCTTTGAAGTGCTCACAGGGCCCACCTGCTGAGGTGATTCCAATAAAAGAACAGGTGCAGGACCCTGTCAACTGGAGGGATTTTTTTCCAGAATATTGTATTCCTGGAGAGCTCTTGTAAGGGGAGCAGTAGTGTAGTATCCTGTTTTTCAGCTCTTGCACATAGAATTTATTGATCAGATGTCTTTTCACTTCCAAGCAGGCTGTGGTAGTCTCAACACAAATTATTTTGTCATAAGTGAAAAACATTCTGGGTAGTAAGGAAACTCCTGGAAAGCAAACGTTGATAAAATATTCTTTCTTAAGAAATAACTTTTTTTTTTCCCCCCCACAGATGCAAGCATCTCTGTGTCATCTTTACAAGGCAAAGAGAACATTTCCTTACTGGGAAATAGGAGGCTTTATTTTGACACTCATGCACTGGTATGCCTCTTGGAAGAAAAAGGTAATTTGTTTGAAACAAGTAGCTATTTTTAATGGTTTTTTTGAGTGGTTTTTTAGTTTACAAAGTTTTTTACTTTTCCTTGACATGCAGTGTTACACCTTGATTTTTATGGATTTTTGGAGGCTTGTCTATATACTAGGAAGGGACATAGGGGGTTTTCTTGGGCTTCAAAAAGGAAACAGTGAGCTTATATAACTTTGTTTGGAATAATTTTTACCCTATTGGTACTTGAAAATGCTAAGAAAAAATGAAATTTTAAGAACTGAGAGCAAAGAATCCCAGAGCCTTCAAGGCAGTGATTTAAAATGTTTTAATTGGATTCCTTCATATTTAGGATAGTACACCTGGAATATGCACCAATGTGTTACAATTGGATGGAATATGGACTACTTTGTACAGTGCAGCTTTTAGGATAGAGCATAGAATACTCTAAAAATAGTATTATGCTAAAATATAGATAAGGGAATAGATAATTTTTAATTCAATGCAGAGGTGGGAGAGGTACCCTAAGGTGAAGCTCAGTACAGCTGAAGTGACTTGTAACAGTTCTTCATTCCTAAAATGGAGATCCCAGTCCCCTTCCCTGCCAGGTGTTTTCTTCTTTTTCCATGGGCCAGGAACTTCATAGGAAACTCTCTAGCTCTTTTTCTTGTTTGGTATTCTGAAACACTAGTTTAATGAGTTGCTGGATCAGTTGAGTGAGCACAGGTCAGAGTGTCATGAGGAGGGATAAGGGGAGAGGGAGCCTTTTAGTGGTAGTAAACTTTTATATCAGCTCAGCTACTGAAAGTGACTTGCTCTCAGCTGTGCTTGCTGATGCTGAACTGCTGGTGAGTTTTAGATAATCACGCTTTTGCAAGTGTTTCTTTTCATAATGATTAACTCTTGTTCGTGACACTTTTACTCCTACATTTTGAGGGTGGAAAATGTGAAGGTATTTTTAGGGACAGTGTTTTAATATAGTTTCCAGTATATTCAGTTCAAAAAAAGTTTGTAATAGGCACTCAGAAGCTGGTAGACCTAAAATCAGGACAGCTGGCTGTGGTTTTAGTGGTTGAGTTTTGTACCTCTTCAGTGGCATTGAATTTTATAGTATAATGAAGTAGCTGCTTTTCAGAGTCAGAATTCTTGCTTGCTCATGGAAATAACCACATGTGAGAGATGGCATTCCAGAATAACTCTGGAGAGCTCCCTCTTTATCCTGCTGATAGTATAATTGTGCTGTACTTGGAAGCGGTCATCCTATGTCACAGACATGGTTTGGGGTGGGGAAACTTGCAGGTACTGACTGTGTTCTTTTGTTAGTGCTGGATCAAGAGTTCTGTGTTTTATTATCTTTCATAAGTGACATTTGTTGTAATTTGGTGCTGATTATGAGTAAGTGGCATTTCTGTAAACTGTCCAGACTTGGATCTCTCTCTCTGAATGTCACTCTTTGTTTCGCTTAGGGTTCACCACTCAGCAGTCAGAGGTCATTGTATCTGCATTAGTGAAAATCATGAACACCAACCTGGATATGATTTACAAGGACATGGTCACCAAAGTACAGCAGGTTAGATCAGAGGCAGTGGTGGGGTTAAAATAAATTAAAGCCTTGTATGCCTACTAATGAAATATGTGTTGCTATTTATTACTGTTATATACTGCATTTTAAAAGTTTGAAGGTGAAGAGCAAACATTCCTCTGTATCTATTGACTGGTTCATTTTGTCTTGAGTTTATCAGGTAGTTACCAAAGTGTTGTGATGGACCTGGATATTTTAGTACTGTGGGTTGGTGTGCAAACCACAAGTAGTTTTTTACTTTCAACCTTACAGTAACAGGACACAAAGTTACTGAGAACTCTTAGACAGTCATAAGAGGTATTCAGTGCATGGACTTGAATTTCTACATTTCTTTTGTAGACTTGTAAGAAGGAAGTACAGATCGCCTCAGTTATTTACCATCCTCTTATATAGTACTTGTTTGTTTATCTCTGTCTCCCAGTGACATTTATGTTGTATTAGAATACAACCTCCTGAGGCTGCTCTGTGAGCCTGGGGTCACAGCCCCAGGTCACCTTCCGAGCACAAGCTGCAACTTGTTTCATAATAACCCGGCTGTTGTCTGGAGACAGGAGGAAACAGCAGCTGCTCTCTCTGTAGTTTAACAGTCTTAGCAGAAGGTGTCTCATTAAAAACTGGGATATTGCAAAAGTGGATTTTGTGGAACTTTCCACCTAGGGAGGTTTCAAGCCAGTCTTCCTACCTTTTAGGTTGTAGGCAAACCTGCAATTCTCCTCTTGTGCTGAATTTGTTCCACAGTTACTCAGGGAATGCCATGTTGAAGGGTCCTTTTCTCCCATGGTTAGTTGTATTTTACAACAAGCAGTCTCAGCCTCCTTCTGTGCCTAGCTTTTTTGAATGAAAGTTGTTTTGTGTTGGATTTAATGCTGCTACTGGTGGTAGATGTTTTCTGAGACTTAGATTTGACCTCAAGTGACTTTCTGCCATTAAGATGCAATGTGTAGGTTTGTACGGCAGCTCAGGAATTGTGTGTGCCATCAACACTGGGCCATATGGTAAATTTTCACTTCCCTATAGCCTTTGATTGCACACGGTCTTCTGCAGAAAGAGAACAAAAAATTGGAAGATTTGGAATGTTGTGGATGAGCTATTATCAAAGTATTATCTTGGTTAGATAAAACCTTAGGGAAAAACAGATTTACATGTGTGTATATGTATAGGCATGAAGAAGAGAAAGAATATGGAAGATTCTGGTCTCTGTTTGCTGAGTCCACTGAGGAGAAGAGAGAACAAGAGCAATCTGGAGACACTGAGGAGTGAGAAAAGAGGTGTCCATGCAGTACTCTCTCTGTAGACCTTTTGTAATACGTCCAGATTACTGACCCATATTTTAAGTCTCGTGGTCAGGTGGCCTGGAGAGGCATCTTTAGATGCTACTTAGAAATAAAATGTTGCAAGGTAGAATTGCATTTTGTGACAAAACTGAAGTTAGAGCGCTGAGTCAGATTTGTAGGGGTCTTAGTCCGGAACCAAAAGCAAGGGACTACTTATTAGAGGAAGATCTTTAGTAGAGAAGGCAGTTCTTATATGCATGTGTGGGTAGTGTAGGTTCTAGAACAATGTCTACAGACTTTTCCATCCTTGAAAGTTGCAGAGAATTCTTGTTTTTCTTCTGTCAGTTCAGTGTAATGGACTGAGAAGAGCAATTCAAAGCATCACTGTGTGATTCTGAGCAGTGAGGCAGAGACTTCCTTGCAGGGAGAGGCAAGAAAGGAGGTAATTACAGAAGAGTATGGTTGTGCTGAGGAATTTTGGTCTGAAGGCCAGCTTTCCTCATTTGGCTCAGAGACAGCTCTGCCTAAAGCCTTTGCTACCTTAAGAATTTGATGACTTGGAAGCAAATGTTTCCTGGGCTAATAATTGAATTATTCTGATCTGTGTTAGCACTGCCAATTTTGTCAGACATTACCAACGTTTGAGCCTAACTTGCTTATTTTGTCACTGTCACTCTATCTTGCTTTCTGAAACTTGGATAATCAACCTGAAATTGCTGAATTAAAAATTTCAGGGCACCAAAATAGTCCTTCATATTTGTAGGCACAGATGAGGAAAAGTATTATAGTTGTGATATGTTCTGAGGGTCTTCTTCCTTCTTTTAAAGGAAATTGCACTTCAGCAAGTTATGTCCCATATTGCTGGTGTGAAAAAGGACATGATTATTTTGGAAAAAAGCGAATTTTCAGCACTTCGTGCAGAAAATGAGGTAAAAATTACTGTCTTGGAAGGTTCTATTCTAGAACTTGCTTTTTTCTTTTTTTTTTTAAATAATGATGTAGAAAAGCATCTTGTACCAAAGGAGATGACTGGGGCTGGGATGGTTTGGCACCTTCATTAATGACCTTGTTGATGGAACAGAGCAGAGGGCACTTTTGACAAGTCTGCAGATGATCCAAAGCTGGGAGCAGCTGCTGATACACCAGGCATTTGTGCTTCCATTCAAGGGGACGTCAGCAAGCTGGGAAAATGGGATGACAGGAATCACATGAAGTTGAACAAATGGAAGTGCCAGTCGTGCCCCTGGGGAATACCCTCAGGCACCAGGACAGGCTGCGGGTGACCAAATGGAAAGCAGCTTGGCAGGGAAGACGTGGTGGACACGAGGTGCTCCATGAGCCAGTGATGAGCCCTTATGGCAAAAGCAGCCAGCACCCTCCTGGGCTGCGTTAGGATGGCTGCCAGTGGGACACTGCTGGTTTCTGCCTCGTGCTGTTGTTTGGAAGGGCACAGTACTGAGGAAACATGCATGGGTATTCATCTGTACACATACTGAGGACATGCAATAGTGCTTGGTTTGCCTGCCTTTTCGTATTATGGATTATAGTCACTGTTACTGATGATGCAAATTCTGTAGATTTCTAGATAGTGTGGTTTTATATACAGTAATAAAGTCTAAAATTTTTTTCATACTCTCACAGAAAATAAAACTTGAGCTCCAACAGATAAAGAAGCAAGTCACGGTAAGATACCATACCAATATAATTAAAAATTAACACCTGTCTAATTAGCTGGAAAAAATAAAAAGTGCTACTTTCAGAATTTCATTTTCTAAGCTGTGTTTAATTGTTATGATACGTGTGATACTGAAATTGCTGTTGACAGTACACTGTGATCTGCAGCAAAGGCACTTTCATGCATACCACATTTATGGGGACAGGAAACTGTGACTAGTACAAGAGGCAAACCAAAATATAACTGAAGATATTTTTATGTCCTTAATTCAGATTCAGAAAGTAGCTGCCATGTCATGGTTAAGGCTGAGTGAAGTTCTGCATTTAGGGCTGCCTGTACATTAAAGATGCAGCATACATTTAAAATCACAGTACTTACTAATTGTGGGGGTCTGATTGTTTGGTTTGGTGGGTTTTTTTGGTTTTGTTATTTTTTCTTCAAAGACTTTCCTGTTACCTGTCCAGAATTTTAATGGCTTTTTAAGGCCACCAAGTTTGGGACTATTATGTTTGGTCCCATTTGTTTGGGAGCAAATGATCAGTGCAAGAAAATAGGCTGTGTAGAAAGCTTACTCTGTTTTAAAATACATTTGGCATCTAAGTTTTGAATTGTAATTTATTTTATGGTTTTAGTTGCATGTAAATGAGTTATTGTAATTCACTAGTAGAGCATCAAGGATCTCAGTCATCTTTTCTTAAAAGCTAGATGTGTTTATATTGTACTTTCAACTGTAAATTCAATTCTCACAAGGCTATGTTATATGTTTGCTCATACAAAAAGACACAATATAAAACTTCAAGGAAAATTTTTATTTTTTGATTTATTAAACTGTAATGTATTCTGTTGAAATGACAACTAATAATAAATCAAGTAAAGTTCAAAATTCGAACACAGAAACTGAGTAATTATTGTTCATGCTAACCTAATGAGTTGGCATTGGCCTACTTGAGAAATGCTTACTTGGTTCTAGCAGTAGAATCTCCCAGAACATCAGCAATCTTTTGTTTCTCCCACATATTCATCTGATCAGCAGTTTGCCACATGACAAACTGTCAGCTGGTTGAAATTCCTGCCAGGAGGTTGCATTAAAATGCCCCCTGTCACCAGGAAAAGCAGGACTCACAGCTATTGATAAAGTCAAATGCAAGTGTACAACTTAATAAACTTAACATCAAACTTTTAAAAGTTTGATGTTTAAAAATGCAGTAAACATTTCCTGACTTTTCAAATATCTATAGCTTTTTCTAAAAATCACAGATGTAGTCTTTGGAAACAGATTTTCTTTTTTACACTGGAAGGTGAGAAACTGCTTTGAACATTATTTTGAGCATCAAGATTGCTTCATGGAAGAAATCCAACTTATAGGTGTAGCCAGACATGGGTTTCTAGATATCAGAGAGAGTTACAGGATATATGAAACATTCTCTGCAATTATAGAGGATGTGCTCTCAGTATAAATACTTATTTATAAGTATTGTAAATACTTAATACTTCTGAAAATTATATACCTTAATTGGAGATCTATTAATGAGATATAAAAATAAAGATAAAATGTATTTGTCCAATTCTTTCTGCTTAAGATAAAACAGAAAATCTTGCTTGCTGCTTTATCAATTTTTCCTATTAGGATGAAATTACCAAAGTTCATGCAGATAACAAGTTAAACCTAAACCTGGAGAAGAGCAGAGTAAAAGAACTGGTAAGTTTTGGTTACTTCTAGAAACATCTCAACACTGAGTAATCTCCAAATTTGGGTAAGAGCATCTCACCCAAAGAGCATTTTCCTGCTAACCTATAGTATCACTCAGCTTCACGATGGTAATAATCCAAGTTACTCGTCCTTATGCTGGTATATGCAAGGTGCCATGTTTAGGTCTTTATGTCTTACCTGTTTTGATCTTGTTTTAATATCAGGATTAACACATTATTAGATATTTAATCTAATATGCTGACTAGCTACCTAGAGGGTTTTCTGTTTTATATTTCTTTATCTATTTACATGCTTACTATTGCTTACACATTTTGTTGAATCATCATTGGAGATGTTTCATTTTCCTGTATCTAGTTTGTCAAAAAATACCTATTGTGGAACTAGTTGTAAATTTTATTTTTTTAATTGTAAGTTATCCTGGTTCATATTGCTTTTGAGCTTTGAAATACCTGGTAGATCTGAATTTATGTAATCTTAAATTAGGGTAATGTAGATGTAAAATTAGAAGATTAATGAGTTCTTGAATTATGCACAGCATTCTAGAGTTCTATTCTCATAGATTCTTTTTTTTAGTAGCTTTTAGGATCTCAATGAAATGGCATCTTCTAAATTGAAGGATCTTTTAATAACTTTTTCTAAATTATTATTTCTTTCTCAGTCCTTATTACTAGGTGTGTTATAAGGACAAGTTTATGTAACTTAAAATACTTATCTTCAATGTAGGCAATAAGAACTGTTCAAGTAGATATCATCTTCTGTGTGTGCCCCTAGAAATAGTGAGTGCTTAGTTTAGGTAACGGCTGTGTTGATATATATTATATCTGTTTAAATAGATGCAGTTCAATATAATGACCAGATGCACTCAATATAATGACTAACAGTCTGTTAGCCCATGGTAGATGCTTGAATAAAGTACAATTTGAGCAGGTAGACTTCTTGTTTAAAGGTTAATACTTCATGCTAATACTTTTAAAATCATCATATGAAATGTAGTCATTGTGTATATGATAAACTTTGCAACAATTTGGGCTTACAAAACTTATATGACACCACAGCAGTAGTGATAAATTAGGCAGCAGCGTTTTCTTGTGTATTAATGTAGGGAGGATTGTGGAATCTGGACTTTGGTCTTTTGTGTGGAACACAACTTTATTTTGCCTCCCAGGAAAGGCAAACTGCATGTCAACTTTCTCTTAAAAAAGTTGACCAACTTTGTAATCTGTTGTGCAACTATAATTTCATAGTTTCTATGGAAACTGCTCTTTTCTTTTTTTTTTCCTCCCTCACCATTTAATCGCAATGTGTGAACAGAAGAGGAAAAAGGCAGCTGAATAGGGAGCAGGTTGTGGCACTTATGCTGGGTTGGGGGAAAGATATAATCCAGTATTTTCTATAGTCGGCACAGCATCATTGTTATATTTACTTCAATTGTAATGTGACTAAGTACTGAATATCTGGCTTTCTGAGAAAAAAAAAAACTAAGGATATTTGAAGGTTACAGTGCATTCTTACTAAGTTACTTTTCAGAAGATAAATGTCTGAAGTGTTAATTGTTTTAACTTGAAGCAATAAGTAAAATGTTCTTATCCTTCAGTTTGATGTGGAGTAAGTGCTTAAAGAGGATTTCTTAGTTTGCCTACACTGATATTGGCAGTCCTTAATGTTTCAAATTTTAAACACTTTATCTTTTATTTTCTATAGTTTATTATTTTATAGTCTCTTCTACTTTATTTCTCAGAGAATCCTACACTTCTTAGTGCACATCTCTTTATGTTGTAATTTGTCTTCAGATATGATTTAAAACTTGAAGTACAGTACAAAAACTTGTATATATTTATGTGTTCATGCATCACAGTGTCTCTAAGCTTGGTGTTAAAAGCCTCAAGATGTATCTGACAAAATTGAATTTTTCCTGCACTGTGAAAAACAAGGACTTAAGGGGAAAATCTCCCTGTTGAATTTCAGAGTGGGAGGTTTAGCCTTGTCCTTTCTTCTTTTTTTTTATCCACTATGTTTATGTTGTTACAGACGTGATGATGGCTTGCACTAAAAGGCCAATTTCACTGTCTTAAGCCTAAGAGTAAAATCCTTGAGTCTGACCTAGAGAGTTCTAAACACAAAACAAAGAAACGTCCAGAAAGCTTGTAGAATATAAATAATTCCAAAGATGTGTATTTGGCTAACTGCATCTATTTAAACAGATTAACTCTTTCAGTCCATAAAATTATTTTAATTCTCATAGTTCTTTTGAGAGTGATCAGTTCCTTGATGTGAGGTCCAATTATTGCATTTCTACCAAAACATAATTTTTTTTAGATTATTTTATAAATATTCTGCCATTTTGACACTTTCAAAAATGGGGATTTATAAAAAATGTCTGAATTTCTTTTTTTTATCTCTGTCTTCATTTTGCAGAATCTAGTGACTCCATTAATTGTAGACATGCTGTTATTTGTCTTTATATAATTTTCTATGTTTGTAGCAGCCTGCTGTCTTTTAACTTCAACTTGAGAAAAGTCAAGAGTGCAAACAGAGATCTAGATCTTTAAGGAATGTTTTTCAGTGCTGAAGCATTTATGTAGATTAATCTGATTTTAATGTTAAAATTAGATCACCTTCCAGAGTGAAGGAAAATAAGGGTGACTTTCCACATGGGAATGTCAATAGATAAGGTTATTGCTGTTTAACTCAGGATTCTGAGATGGGTGCCTGATGACCTTAGTACTCTTCACTGGAAGCTGGTGCTTTATCAGTTGTCTGTGAATAATTTATTTTCTCCAGTAGTGGGGCAGGAACCATTATAGGTGTCAACGTAAATCAAGTTCATGAGTCAGAAAGGTAGCCTGCTTTAAAGGTATGATTCCTTATTTTGGATTTAACTTCTCCTTGAACCCAAATAGCCATAACTTAAAAATAAGCCGCAGCTTCTGGTGATCCACATACAAAAAGCTTCACATGCGATACAAATTTTCTGTTTTTAACAAATATACCATGGAATGACAGGTCAGAACAATTCAAATTGTGAGTGCATATGGTGCTGGCTAAACATTTCGTTGATACCTGAGTTTGGTGTGATTTAAAAGAGTTCTCCCCTTCCTGAAGGCGGCAGATGGTTCAGTCTTGATTGTGCTTGTATGCCAGAGTCACTGTTTAGAGTCATAGGTCCTTGCTTTTCAGAAATGCACAGCTGCCAGCCTCTCTTCTGGCTGCTTACTAATATATACAGATTTTGTGGAAGATGAGTGTCTGAAGAACTTGTTGCACTTCGCATTTTTGAAGTGTGCTTTCAAAAGGACAGCAGATACCCTACAATGCTGTCTCCCAAGTGCTGTAAGACAATAATCTTGTCCAGATTATATGTTCTGTGTAACCTGGAAACAAAGAAACATGCTTTTAAGTGGGGAAAAAAAGTTTAAGGACAGTATCATGTTTAACTTCTTTTTTCTCCTTCTAGTATTCACTTAATGAAAGAAAACTACTTGAAATGAGGACAGAAATAGTGGAATTGGTAAGAACTTAGTAGCTGATTATCACATGGCAAATCTTTTTGTACTTGTGTTATAGACCTTGTATCCTTTTTGAATTTGGTGATGTCCTTAGGCACTTTAGCTTAAGTGTCAACAGAACAAAAAGACCTTCATATATATTATTAGACCCTCTGCATGTATATATGAGCCGTTCAGTAGTTGCTTTGATTTGAAACCTCATGCATGTAGTATTTTTTGTAGATGAAATTCCACTCACAATGTGAAATTAATTCTTTCCCCCGTGTTTAGGGAGAAACTCATTGCTAGACTGATTTGCCTTTGTTTTAGAGGAGTTTTTTACCAAGCACCACTACTTCTCTTTGTTTCCTGAATTATCCCTCGGAAGTCATCTAGCAGTAAATCATTAACTGATTCACAATGTTTCACTAGTGCTGATTTGAAACTATCAGCAGCTGTTGTTCTTAGTTTATGAGTTGGATTTTTCAGTCTCTTCTGACTAATAATTCTATCCCATATTTTTTTAGTGGAAATCTTGTCTTCTGTCATAATCAAATTCTGAATTTGTAGCTGATGTTGTGGTAAAACTCATTGCAAGACAAAGACGTGCTTTTGTGACACAAGACCAATTCTCAGTTTTTCTAATGATCCATAAATCTCTGCTCCAGTGTGACTTAGTCATGAGAGGCTCTTAGGCTTCTCAGTAGCTGTAAAAATTGAGCAGTGACTTTAGTCAGTGGGCTGAATGACAGATTGAAGTTAATGTTTATGCGGTTAGATTGAGATAAGAATGCATCCAGTTCTGCCAGTTTCTAGATTACTTTTTAAGGAACACGTAATCACATAAGTTTCCTGGGTTCACCAAATTATTCAGTTCCTTGGATACAATCAGCTAAGAAGGAACTTGTTGTCTTTGAATAAGGTCTGTGTTAGCTCAGCTGGTTAGAGCATGATGCTAATAATGCCAAGGTTGTGGACTTCATCCCTGTACAGGCCATTCACTGCAGAGTTGGACTTAGGATCCTTGTGAATCTCTTCCAACTCAGAATATTTTGTAACTTCTGTAAGAATGCAAATTAACATGTATTTAAAGAGGAAGCAAAAATACAACTTGAAGAGATGGGTTAAATTTCTAAATAAACTAGGAAGTGTTAAAATTGCATCACTTTGTTGCTTTGCTTTCTAGCATGCACAACAAGACCGAGCTCTGACCCAAACAGACAGAAAAATAGACACAGAAGTTGCAGATCTGAAAACAATGCTCGAAACGCACAAGCTTGATAATATTAAATACTTAGCAGGTAAGGAGTCTGGCGGTTATCTCTGGTGGTGACACTGCCAAACATTGTTAAATGTTTGGCAAACTCTCAATGGGCTGTATTTATAAAGGCCCTTATTAAAAAAAAAAAAAAAAAAAAAAAAAAAAAAATTTGAAATTAGCAGCCTTATTTCTGTACTTAACCCAGAAGAAGTTTCCTGTGATTCACAAATGTATTTTGCATGGAATTTTTTCAGGTTTTTGTCCTTCTTTGTACTGTTAATAATAATATGTGTGAGAAATCTGAAAGACTGCCTGTTAACAAGGACCAAAAAGTTCTGTGCTTGAATTAATTTATGTAAGCAGTCTGCTGTATGCATTTTCTAGGATTTCTTCATCCATCTGATGGAGATCTCTGTGCAAAAAGGAACATTTCAGTTTTTCTGACTATTCAAGGCCACATATTCTTTAAACTTCCACATTTACACAAGTGCTTAGAGAAAATACTATATATGTGTGCTGACATTATTGCCTTAGGTAATTTAAACATTTTGACATTTTACTACTGAGCGTGCAGTACTATTAAATGAGGTTTGCCGTAGAAAATTATTCTGATTTAGATTTTCTGATTATTTTTTCATGGTGGGCTTTGTCAAAAGTACAGTGACATAAGCCCAATAGTACTAGTATTTCAGACATATCATTTAGAGGGAACCAATAAAATGGAAAATAAAAGGTGCTTTATTAAAATGAGAGGAAATTCTTTTCCCTACCATTCCTACTCAAAAACAAGTTGAACTCTACATGGAAGAAAAAATAATTTAAAATAATTTGTATTGTGTTTGAAGGACTCCCATTGCAAACAAAGGCAAAAATATTTTGTGTTTATGTCTTGAAATAAAATTTTTATTTCATTGCAGTAGAAATTAAAAAAAATTAAAACTAATAAGCCTTGTTTAAAATGGCTTTCATTCATTTGTTTGCTAAATACTTGACTGTGTTTTATTAATCCCATTATTTATTACCTTGTTTTACATCTGTAACTTGTTATATTGATCTTTTTGGAATGGTAAGCAAGTAAGGGTTTCTTTCAGCCTTTTGATAGTTTTCCAGCATTCTTTTTTTTTTTCTCTCCTTCTTAATTGTCATTTTTTATACTCTTCCTACCTTGAAATGGTTTGTTGTAAAGGAAAAACTTAATCTCTCACATGGAGAGAAGTGAACTTTTGGTGGGGAAGTCACTGAACTTTTAGTATTGTAGTAAGATGTGTACATTGCTTTCTCAAGAGATGTTTTGAGAGGTATTGATTTAATGTTATTTAATGTCAATATTAATGCCATTTTCCTTCCATCTTTATTTTCTTTCAGGTTCAGTATTTACATGCCTTACTGTAGCACTGGGATTTTATCGTTTATGGATATAACAAAACACAAATTTAAAGGGACTTCTTTGCCTGAGATTCTGAAAAAAGGAAGTTTTTTATCTTTACCTGAATTTTTAACCAAATCTTGACTGTTTTATTTATTATTTTATAAAGCAGACTGTGTTGAGAATGTAACCAAAGACGTGCCTAAAAAAACCTGTGCACATACCATGCCAACATTGAACCTCACCTCTGACAGAAGCGCTTCTGCTGTTTCCCTCCATTCTGAGCTGCAGGGCATCTGCTGCTGCCTTCGTGTAGGCAAAGACTGGCATTCCTGACAATGGAGTGGGCCTGCATGCTGCAGAGAAAATCAATGGAATTATGTTCCATTGCCTGCTTGGGCAGGTTGGCCAGACTCAGTTGCATGTGTTGGACTGAAGTATTTATTATTAGTGTAAAACTGAAGCTACGTGTTCTGTGGCTTGGAGGCACTCTTGTATAAGTGGAGTTTGTGCTATCTGAATCATGCTCACTTCCCTCCCTCTAACACTTGTTCTTACAGTTACTATGATCAAATATTTGTTTGGCTATTTTTGTAACATAGCTATCAGCTTTTTTTCCAGATGGCTGCCCAATCGGTTGTGTTCATGAACGAGTCCTGTGTAAAGATAGCAGTGTTTGCTGCTGGTTTTGTTTGTAAGGTATTTCTAGAGATTTTTGTCACTAACTTGCCTTTGGTAGATGTAAGTATCTGATACTCATTCCATATGCTAATTGCTTACCTTACCGCTGTAACTGGAAGTTGAAAATGCAGTAACCTACACTGGTTGTGTTAATTTGTCCTTAGGTGATACAAAGTGTCTCAGGTGCTGCCTTCTTGATGAAAAGGAATTGATGCTTCTAGAAAGGAAAGAGATTTTAAATGGTGGTTATGAAGCAGGCTCTTAGGCAAGAGAACTGCAGTACCAGCAGTCTTCTGCAGGGTTTACTGTTTCATTTCTTAAAAAATCATGTTGATTCTTCAAATTTGGAACTCTGATAGTAATGACAATAATTGAAGCAGCAGTGGATACCTGTAAAGATGTTAAACCCACATGAATCAGGAAGTGCCACTGAAAGCAGTGAAGAAAGATGTCCAGTGTATTCAGGTATCTGTCATTCTTCCACTGATGAAATGATTGTTTTAGTAGCCGAGCTGCCATCTGTGTTCCTTCACTTAAGGGAAATTTCCCTTTCTGCTTAGGGGAGGAGGGGAGCTTTTATGCACTGGTGATAAATGCTGTTAGAGCACAATAATGGCTTTGCTTAATGAAAGTAAAGCTTTTTGGCTACTTTGTGCCTGTATTGTAATAACCATTTAACATTTTTGTGGTTGGAAGTGCCAACTTTGATCATGTGCAAGTTCAGAGGAAGAGATGGTTGCCTGTAACAATACTGTACTGGCCTGAAATAAAGAATTTTGAATATTTCATAGAATATGATGTGTTTTCATTATAAAAGCAACTTTATTTGAAAATTGTCTCTTTGGCTGAAGGTAAGTCACTGCTCATATGAAGTCTTTGAAGATAAGAATTTGCAAAGTCAACAGCTCCTCCAAGACGCTGAAGAGAAATAACATAAGGAAAATTATTATTGTAGACTAACTTAACAGCCCCTCTAAATTAATGAATTTATACTTGAGAACGTCACTTTTTTGTTTAAAAATTTATTTTTATATACTAAGTTACGGGATTTGACACCTTCTCAAATTAGAGAAGCAGTAATTCAGTTTTTAGAATGACTTTGCTGTTGGTCTTATCTTCCCAAGGCAGATGGTTCTATATACGTCCATGGAATCAGTACATGTTGGCCTGCAGGCTTGTGCATCTGACAAATAGTTGCTAAAATAAGTGTTTAAGACTAATTTTAAACATAGGGTCTATTCTGCTAAAAACAGATACTGTGCAAATAAATTTCTATTTTGGGCAGGTGGAAGGAGGAAGTGAAAGATTATAGAGCACCAGCATCTTGGAATTACCAAACTGTCAGCCAACCAGGACTTCTTGGTGTTTAAGCAAGGAATAAAGTCAATGTGTCATTCAGGAAAAATACACTATAAATAGAACATAATTATTGACTCCTAATCCATAAAGTCTTCAAGGGTGTGTAAAAGCTTTTTATTCCCAGTCTTTGTGCAGCACACAAAATCTTCTCTCATTTACTCTTCTTACCACTGTGTCATCATATATACCACATATATTTATTGGCTTTCCAAAAATTTAGAAAAATCCCTCCATATATTTCCAAATACAAATCTGACAAAGAGATTTAAACTCAAGGAACGAGCATTTTGGTACAGGCAAGAATCTGTTACAGAATCACAGAATGGTTTGTGTTGGAAGGGATCTTAAACATCATCTTGTTCCACCTCCCCTTCTGTTGACAGGGACACCTTTCATGGATCAGGTTGCTCAAAGCCCCATCCAACCTTGCCTTGGAAATGGCCAGGGATGGGACATCCACAGCTTCTCTGGGCAGCCTGTGCCAGTGCACCACCATGCTCACAGTAAAGAACATTTTACTAATACCTCATCTAAACTGGTGCTCTTTGAGTTTAAAGCCATCACCCCTTGTCCTGTCACTACATGCCTTTGTACAAAGTCCCTCTCCAGCTTTCATGTAGCCCCTCTTCAGGCACTAGAAGGTGCTGCAAGGTCTCTCCAGAGCCTTCTCCAGGCTGTACAGCCCCATCTCTCATCCTTTCATAGGAGAGGTGCTCCAGCCCTCTGAGCATCTTCCTGGCTTCTGGGTTTGCTTGAGTAGGCCTATGTCCATCTTATTTTGGGACCCCAGAGGCAGATGCAGCACTCCAGCCTTGGTCTCACCAGAGCAGAGTGGCAGAATCGCCTCCCTTGCCCTGCTGGCCATGCTGTTTTTGATAGAGCCAGGATACAATTGGCTTTCTGGGCTGCAAATGCACAGCTCTTGAATGTTGAGAGTCAAATGATCACTGAAGTCATAAATAAAAGCTCTAAGTTGGCAATTTTCCAAATTTGTTTCTGTAAGACTCTGTATCATGCTGTATGTTGTGTCTAATTGGAATCATAAGCAATTCTAAATGTACAGATATTTTTCTGCTTTGATTTTTAATTTTCAGAGCTCTGTCAAAAGATGCAAGTGAAAAATAAATGAGATTGTTTTACCAAAGAACCACTTCAGCTGTGAAAACCTGCAATAGCTCCCCAGTGATTCAGAAATCACAGAATATTTGCAGTTGGAAGGGACCCACAAGGATCATCAAGTCCAGCTTGTAGGTGAATGGCCTGCATGGGGATCAAACCCACAACCTTGGCATTATTAGCACTGTGCTCTGACCAACTGACTTAATCTCATCTATCTGTTCATTTCCTGCCTGGCATAAAAAGAAATAAAAAAGAATTAAAAAAAAAATCCAGAAATGTTAGATCTCTCTGGTTCTCTCTTTAAGTCAAGCTGAAGCTGAGCTCCGGCCCTAATTTGCTTTCAAGAAAAGTCCATTTCTATTGTGAGCATGTAAGAGTAAGGGTCTGTCTGTACAAACACTAGTTGTGAGTTTTTCTTGTGAATTTCCCCATTTACATAGCAAAGACAGGATGTTCTTTAAGAATTTTTTTCTGGAGAAGGAAATTGAGAATCATTTCATTTGATGGAAAGCCCGAGTTGCACCAAAGCTTCTTTGTGTTTTGCAGAACAAAGTGGGATCCAGAGTTCTTACAAAACTGTATTTACTTGTGATATGTTACTGGGAGTATCCTGAGTTTGTCCATTTTGTTTCCTTCCTGTTTTCAGTAAAAGTCCACAAGGGAGTGGTCTCCCTTTCACTGGTATGTATTAGACAAATTGTTTACTTCAAGTATTTTTTTACTATTAAATCCCATGCAGTCTAGCCCCTTCTCTATTAGAAGTGTTTCTTGCATCATTCATTTCCCAGAATGTTGTAGAGTTGTACTTAAAACCACAAGTTGACAAATGGAAACATATTTTTAATGTAGATATGAAATCTGCTTCAATTTTACCAACCACAAATGTTTTGGTTTACTAGAATAACACTTCTCCTAGTTGTGAATGTTCACTTAAATGACCTTTCCAAAAATGGTGAAATCCTGTCTCCAAGCAGCTATTAACAGTACTTCAAGATGTTTTGAGTCATACTGCTTTAGTGGACTTTTCTCTTCTTACTCTTGCTACCATCTGCAGACCTTGCACAGGAAAACTGGTGAGGTTTTTCATGTGGTTTGGGATTTTGGGGGTTTTTAAATCTGCAAAGTTAGGTAAATTCACATAACTAGTTCTCTTGAACTACTGCAAGATGTGAGCAAGACTTAGTTTTGCATCTCTGCATTGAGTTTCCAGGAATCAAGTAAACTACTTTTATTATGATTTCTAAAAATTATCAGAACTCTGTAAGACAATTTATTGTTTTACAAAACTTCTTTTTGAAGTCTCTTTAAGAAATAAGTAAACAGTAAAATAATTTTTTAATGTTTTAATATATTTGAAAATTATTTATTAGTTACAAGTATGAATGTTTTCTTTTAAATTGTTTTTCCTTTATTTATATAGATCTTGAATTTAAAGGGTTGTTTGTTGTTGAGGTTTTTGTTGTTGGGTGTTGGGGTTGTTTTTTTAATTTTAGAATAAAGATTTCTGTATAAGCAATACAGTTCCTTTAGTCTCTAAATAGACAGTTCATTTACAATCAAATATGTGCCTGGAGTTTTGGGGGTCACTTTGAGCAAAAACAAATGCATACTCCCTTGGAGATAGATGGCCTGCTGTGTCTTTGTTAGGAAAGCTTCCTTTGGCTTAAAACATATTTTTTACCCTATTGCTAAACATTTTAAAGCTGTGGTGTTGCTTCTTTATTTCAGGCTCATGTTCTATGTCAGAGGAGTCACCCCTGATCCTCAAACATGCAGTGTGAGAGGATCATAGAGATCATAGAGGAAAACACCCAGTGTTTGCACAGTGTTCCTTTGAAGTCTGCCCCTTCCAAGGAGGAAGATTCTGGTTTTCTTGGGAGGGTGCCTAGCTGGTATCGAAAACAAAAGTACTGGAAATGAGTAAGAAAATATTGCAGCAAATAAATATCAACCTTGAGCCAATGTTTACCCCCATAGTGAGGCATGTCAATGTGGTGTAACATTTCAAATACCCCACGTCCCCCCTGTCAAACTCTTGGAAGTTCATTAGGTTCCCTGGTGTATTCTGAAGTTATATCAGCTTGATTTGAGTCATGACTAATACTACTCATGAACAATCTCTTCTTGTTGGATGAGTAAAAATGTAGTAAGGGGAAAAAAGAAGGGTGGTGTGTTGTTTTGGTTGTGGTTTGTTTTTCTTTCCCTGCAGGGAAGTGGCACATGTTCTGTGAGAACTTTAAAAAGAGCTGTGTGGTACATGAATATAACAGTGGCATATTTATAGCAAGCAACTGAATCTGGTCAAATGCAGCTTGTATACAGGGCTCCAGGGTTTACATCAGAACCAACAGAGACAGTAATAGTTGTCTTGGGGGGGGCGGGTCAGGAATGGAAGCACGGCAGGTTTCTCAGCTTGAAGGGAAAACTCAGCATTTATACTGCTTGCACTTCAATCTCCAGCATGCTTTGGTCTTTCTCCATTGTTAATTGTGATTTTGTCCAGAATAATGGGTCACTCCAAGTCATTCTCCTCTCTTTACCCAGGATCTGTTTTCTTGTGGCAAAGGTATACTATGTTTTATACACTCACAAATTCTCACAGCAATGTAAGAAATGAATAAATACAAAGGCCACTTGTATTTAAAGAAATGAATGCAAGAATGAATAAATACAAAGGCCACTTTTAAAGGCTACTTACCACAACCAGACCCAGATAGTGGCAGGAGATTTTAAAAATCTTTTATATCACGGCTTTAACAGAAGTCCATTCCATTGCCTCATGATTTACATGCAGAGTTCCCTTGTGTTCCTTGACTCCAGCTAAGCCAAGGACCTAACCACCTAACCAAGCTCTTCACTGAGCATTTGAAACCAAATAAAGTGACAGGCCTGTGCCTATTAAAAAAAAGACCTCTGCTGGTGCTCAGAAGAGACTGAGCACACCTACCATGGATCTTGCACATCGATTTTACATTTTTGTTCAGTTGGTTTTTTGATGTAGTTAGTTACCTTGTCTCATGTGTTACATTGCACCACCACTCAGAAGGACTGGGATCTAAGAAGTTTTTTAAGAAGGAGCTCAAGCTATATGGAAATTGAGGGGGGGGGAAAGTGCATAATATGGCTCACACTTCCAAAGATCCATAGGAAAATTACAGCAGAAATGTTAGTATTTTCATTCCCTCTAAAAGGAACTATGTTTAAAAATAAACTGAGTTGATTTTTTCTTTAATCCTTCTAGCCACCTTCCAGTCTCTGCACTGCAGCATGCTCCTGTATGTGAATTGTTTCATTTTTAATAATCTGGTTTGGGCA